TCCGAAGGAACGAACCGGAGGATTTTAGCCCTGCGAAGGAGGATGTGTAACTATGTCTATGACCAAAGAGTCACGACAGTGCCGCAAATCGTCAGATTGACGTGAAACCCGTACGTAACGCGAAGAAAGTGTCTATTGACAGGACCATCCTGTCAATAACAAAAAATTCTTCACTCCACTATTCCACCTGATTTATTGCTGTTTTGATGATGAATAAAAGACTTCTTGCTTGTTACACTGTGTCACCTCATTCAATTTGTGCCCTAACATTTGTCGTCTCTTAGTTTATTCCTAATCTAGGCATCTTGTTTTTAGGGCCCTTCTTATTTTTTTTATCGCCCTCTCGCATTAGATTTAGGGTCTCCAAAGGACGTCATCCATAAAATTTACTTGGTGTGGCCTAAGGTTAATTTTCAAACATTACTGAGAAATTTTCCGAATTTATTGGTTTCTTGTGTTAGTGCGGTTGGATGCTGTGATTGTGAAGTCCCTAATACATTGGGAGAATCAGATGAGATTTTTTGAGTGGAGTTTATAGACATGATCACATTTTTATTTGTTCAGCTGTGTCAATATGTGATTTGTTTGGGAAATAGGATTTGGTTTAGGTTTTAATATATCAATGTCAGGTACACCTTTGGGAATAATTGCTCCAAGTTCCAGGTAGTAAATACATGTACATTTTGTATCATGTATTTTTCACTTGTTGAACTTGTGGAAGCACCGTTGGCCCCCGGTTAGGGGTCATCCGGGGAACCTATGCCCAATTTTTTCAAAATTAAGGATGCTGATAGAATTTTTTTTTAAGGAAATATGATCTAGCTTAGTTTTTAATATATCAACACCTTTGCAATACAATATTTTTTGTTGGTGCGCCTAGATTTTAGCCTGTGCTCCTAACTTTTTATGGTTAGGAGCACAGTGCTCCTAGGTCAAAAAGTTAATTTGGAGCCCTGAGTGTTGAATTGTTATCAGTTACCTCCCAATCTTTTTACAAATGTTGGTGCAACAGCAATAATGATGGAAATGGAAGTATGGACAATGTGTGTTCCACAACTACAGAGAGTAAAATTATACGTACATTTCCAGCTCTCTGGTTTGGATCTTCCCGAGGTTTCAGGGCTCCGGGTCCGAGTGACGGCAAACAGGACTGGAACACACACACACGGCCACCTGTAGGGGTCTGGAAACAAACAAACGAACACCTGGTCAGAACCTAACACTGCTCCACATGTATGCCAAAAAACAGTTACTGTATATGATTTTGGAAACCGTCAGGCGTTTCAGGTAGCATCCACTACCTTTTGTCAGTGACACTAGAGAGTTGTCAGAAAAGCAGGTTTACAATTTATAAGTATGAACTATTGATTGATATGCAAATATGCTCCACATGTACTTTGACTTGATTGGTCTGTAAATTTCCAGAATCTCCAAAATGCCAGTCAGGAAAAGATTCAATCAATTTGTGACATAAACAAAAATACATAAGAAAGAGGAAAACAAACAAACACAGAAAAACAAAGTTGTAGAACTGCAGGATTTTATTTGACTGTTGTACACCTTTTGTTGCTTGACTAAATGTAATCATGTCTTGTCCTGTGTACATGTATGCTGGGCTCCATCGGAAAGCAGCTTCTACTAGCTGCATGGGCTACCCAGCCATTTTATGATGAAATAAGTAAATAAATAAACACAAACACAAATGAGTAGGAAATGAGAGAACGCACCATGAGCTTGTGAGCGACTTGCAGTGCCGGCCCCAGTGCACTGTGGGTCTCCGTGTTGTCAGCAAACATCTCAGGCAGCTGGTGCAGCAGGTCTTGGATCAACTGGGGGGGAGGGGGGTGTCAGGAAGGAGGGGGGTGGCAAGAGGGGGGTGTTACAATTAGGTTTCTATATTGTCATGGAATGCTCTAGATATGATGTTTTATGTAAAGAAGACTACTTTTAGTTACAGTGAGTTTAGTTATAAGTTATTACAATGTACAGTACTTCACAATTCTTTGGTTGAGTACAACAGATTTCAAGAGACTCCATGTCACTTACCGGTCTTAACATAATTATTAATAATATATTGAAAAATATTTCTCACCTCTTTTGACTCCTGAAGGTTGACCAGAAGGTTGTCTGGGGACGGCAGGAACACATCTGGGGCAAAGGTGAAAAGGCAAGGGTTAGAGGTCAACAAAAACTCAATTCAGATATCAATGACACGAGTCTTTGTCATAATCATCATAGTCAAAATTATAGGAGCCCAAAAACTAAGCTCGTAGATAAAGCTAGTGTACTCCCACCTACACACACAAACACACACACACAAAAACACACACACACACACACACACACACACACACACACACACACACACACACACACATACCTTCAGTATCGCACACGATGAGCATCTGTGGCTGGGACAGCCCCTCGGCCCACACTCCCACCTACACACACACAGACATACACACACACATACACAGACAGACACACACACACACACACACACAAACACACACACCTAGAGCTAATATACCTTCTGTATCCGACACGATGAGCATCTGTGGCTGAGACAGCCCCTCTGCCCACACTCACACCTACACACGCACACATGCACACACAGACATACACACAAGTACCTTCAGTATCTGACACGATGAGCATCTGTGGCTGAGACAGCCCCTCGGCCTACATCCCCCCCACACACACACAGACAGACACACACACACAGACACAGAAACACACAGTACACGTACCTTCAGTATCCGACACAATGAGCATCTGCGGCTGAGACAGCCCCTCGGCCAGGTTGTAGAAGTGCAGCACCTTGTCGAACGTGAGAAGGCCGATGGACGTCCGCGCGTCGCCCGGTAATCTCTCCAGCTCGTCAAGCAGCACGCGGCAGAACGAGTGAAGGTAACCACTCTCCACGGCATTGTGGGATACGTCAAGCACAAACAGGTACACGGCAGGCTGGGGCGGCCTCAACTGGAGGGGGGGGGGGCAACAACTGTCAATCATTGGATGATAATACTAACTAGAAAAGTAAATACATAATGTTTACCTTGGGGACAGTCTAGCCCAAAAAACTACTGAAAGCTATGTATTTATTTATTTCTTCCTCAAATATACATTGACAGGGAAATACACACAATGTCATATATATGTCTGAATTACGTAGGTTTGTTACAAGACATTGTGTTTACTATATGTGCAGAATATCACAAGTGCATGAGACTGACAAAAATGCATAATATAACAAACACTAAATAAAGATCCGAGCTCACAGGGTGATGGTTGGGCTACTACTCTGTTAACCCTAACAAACCACTGCTCTGTTCATACAAACTCAAACACATTCATACATAAGGTGACCAGCCCCTCCAACTCTGTTCTGTCACTTGCTAAATAATGTAACCCAATACCACAGGGTTACATTATGTACCAGCTTCAACACCAGTTACCATGGTGACAGTCATCTGGTCCAGGTCATTGACCTTATTCGTTTTAATTTAAATGGAAAATGAGGAGTAAAAGCAATAAAAAATGTTTTTGTTACAACTAGATAAAGGTAAAACCTCACCATGTATTCTGAAGGTGCTATAAACTCTATGGTTGCATTCTGGACCTCTGGTCTCTTGTGAGGCTCCCCATAACTCTTGGTGAGTGGGTTATACATGAACTCCTCTGGTACTGGGAAACAAAACATGAGGGAAAACATTTAGAGAGGCTCTCAATCAATTATTCCTAGAGGGGTAAGAGAAGAGACAAACTCTTAAATGTTGGCCCTGTAACAGATATTGTCTACAGGCAATGTGCCCTAGAGGGGTGTGGTATTTACTCACAATCGTTGACCCTATAGCAGAGATTGCACTTCCACCTCCTGCTGTCGATGAAGGTAACGAAGGGGTTGATGTACGTCCGGCAGGAGCGGCAGCGAACTATCACGCTCGACGTGATCACGGGAAGATGCTGAAACAAACAAACAAACAAACAAACAAGGCAGTCAGAGATGGCAGACTTCACCCCCTTACCCACACCCACACACGAGTGGCAGCGAACAATCACGCTCGACGTGATCACGGGAAGATGCTGCAACAAACAAACAAACAAGGCAGTCAGAGACGGCAGACTTCACCCCCTTACCCACACACACAGGGCAGTCAGAGATGGCAGACTTCACCCCCTTACCCACACACACACACAAGGCAGTCAGAGACGGCAGACTTCACCCCCTTACCCACACACACACACGAGCGGCAGCGAACAATCACACTCGATGTCATCACGGGGAGGTGCTGCAACAAACAAACAAACAAACAAACAAACAAGGCAGTCAGAGACGGCAGACTTCACCCCCTTACCCACACACACGAGCGGCAGCGAACAATCACACTCGATGTCATCACGGGGAGGTGCTGCAACAAACAAACAAACAAACAAACAAACAAGGCAGTCAGAGACGGCAGACTTCACCCCCTTACCCACACACACGAGCGGCAGCGAACAATCACACTCGACGTGATCATGGGGAGGTGCTGCAACAAACAAACAAACAAGGCAGTCAGAGACGGCAGACTTCACCCCCTTACCCACACACACGAGCGGTAGCGAACTATCACACTCGACGTGATCATGGGGAGGTGCTGCAACAAACAAACAAACAAACAAACATGGCAGTCAGAGACGGCAGACTTCACCCCCTTACCCACACACACGAGCGGTAGCGAACTATCACACTCGACGTGATCACGGGAAGATGCTGAAACAAACAAACAAACAAGGCAGTCAGAGATGGCAGACTTCACCCCCTTACCCACACACACACACGAGCAGCAGCGAACAATCACGCTCGATGTGATCACGGGGAGGTGCTGAAACAAACAAACAAACAAACAAACAAGGCTGTCAGATATGGCAGACTTCACCCCCTCACACACACACACGAGCGGCAGCGAACAATCACACTCGACGTGATCACGGGAAGATGCTGAAACAAACAAACAAACAAGGCAGTCAGAGATGGCAGACTTCACCCCCTTACACACACACAGGAGCGGCAGCGGACGATTACACTCGACGTGATCACGGGGAGGTGCTGCAACAAACAAACAAACAAACAAGGCAGTCAGAGACGGCAGACTTCAGCCCCTTACACACACAGGCTAACGCTTCGAAGTTAACATAGCTCAAACTTAGTGAACCGATTCAAACAGCACAAATTCACAACTTTGCAAGTTGAAATCGAAAGGCCAAATTTGGAACAACTTCACAACAGCAAAACCAATTTCGCAACAACTTTTTGGAACTGTAAGATCTCCAACTGTAAGAACACAGTCACAAAATTTTAACCTTTCAAAATTTTACAGATTTGAAAAAATGGCTTAATTTGCAACTTCACAATAGTGGAAATTCAAACAAATTTGAAACAGCTTTTTGAGTGTCAGTGTGAATTTGTACCGCAGTGCAGGGCTGAAGTGACCTCTGACCTCCCTGGTCCCTAACCTTTCTCCTCTCACAACCTGAACACTGTAAACCCAAAAACACACTCTCAGTTAACAGGCTTTTACGAGTTGACTTTTTACTAACATAAAAGCTGATTTCTCTCAAACAAACCACAACACATGGAAAACTATTTTGGCGCTTCCCAGTTTGAGGTATTCATCTTTTCTTGAATTGGTGCAGGATGGAATGCGTGGATGGTTGAATGAATGAGTGAATATATGAGTGAGTGAATGAATGACAGTACTTACAGACAGGTCCTTGAATGGATGCAGTAGAATACCCAGCGGCAGTTTGCACTTGTTGAGCAGGTTCTGGTTTTGAGGCAGGGTCGTCAGGGTGCACCGGAACAAACTGGAGCGGGGAGGGCAAAAACAGACATTAAGTACAAAAATAACATTTGCAAAGCAAATGCATGCTGTTTACCTTCACATGGTCTGTCCCACAAATCACTGCTCTGCTTATTTTTAGTCAAACACATTCAGGTATACATGTATGGTGACCAGCCCCTCCAACTCCGTCCTGGTGCAAAATGTAACCCAACACTGCTACAGTACTAGTTGCCATGGTGATAGATGTCTGGTTCAGGTCATTAATTTTATGCGTTTGAAGAAGAAGAAGAAACTGAGCAAAATCAAATTGAATATGTTTATCTTTTTATCAGTTAGTGAAAACACATGGACTACACCACTGCATAAGAGGGGTGTTCTTACTCAGGACTGGTGTTGACTTTCTTGAGGTCGTCCCTCAGGTTGGCCTTGGGTGGTTCGACCGGTTCCGGCGGACAGATGTTCCGGTTCTGCAGCAGGTTCACCGCGCGAGACTCGCCGCCTGCAACCGTCAGCCGGCCGAACGGACCCGCAAGGTCGTTAGGGGTCTGTATGGGGGGATTCACAACAATTTTACAACAGTTTATAACACATCATTATACAACAGCTTTACAACTCTTTACAACAAATTACACAACAGCTTAAGAACTCTTTAACAACATATTACACAACAGCTTACAGCCTTTATTTTTGCAATATAAATTTCTTTTATAAAGGACATGCTCTGGTGACAAAAAGTGTAACTTAGGCCACACCAATTTGCAATTTAATCAAATTTTCTATTTACCCCAAAATGAAAAAAAAACTAGAGCTACAGCTCTCTCCTTTCCATTTTATTAGTTTTCAATTGGATGACAATTTAGTAATGGGAAATGTTATATTGTGTACATTTTATGATTGCAGTAATATATTTCATTAATCACTGGTCCATATCAATTCACATTGACGTTGAATGCAGACTTATCGAGCTACATTTTGTCTGCATATGAAGAAATGTATTTTCAGTACATAGTGTATAGTACCAACTGTGAGACATCAGTGTGACCAAGTAGTACTGGTCCTTACCTGGTTCATCTGTTGTCCATACATGCCTGGCTGCTGCCCGGGGGGTGGGGGCATTCCCCCCTGCGGTAGGGGGGGTCTCTGCTGACCTGGAGGGGGTAGACCCCCCTGGAACTGCCCCATACTGGTAGGGGGTGGGGGCATGCCTCCTGGCTGTGAGGAGGGGTGTATACCCCCCTGGTACTGCCCCATACTGGTGGGGGGTGGGGGCATGCCCCCTGGCTGTGAGGAAG